AAGACTGATTTGTTCATTTTTCTTAAAGTCCATGATGTATTTAATATTCTTCACCAACACCAGTTTGAATACATCAATTCTCCTTTCTTCATTGTCCAGCTTTCACATGCATGAGAACTGAAAAGACCATTGCTCAGGTCAGGGACACCGTAATCATCTTTGCTTCAAAAGACATCTTTTGCAGATTTACCCAGTATATTAACATATCGTTTGATTTTCTGACTGCTGCTTCACATTGATTGTTGATCCAACTAAAGAAATCATTGACAACTTTTTTCCATATATCGTAATTTAGTTTATTGGTCTAGATGTAAGAATTTCCATTTTCATGTCCAAGCTTAATCCATACTGAATCACCAGTAAGTGCTTCAGGTTGTCTTCATTTTTTGGTAAGCAAACTGTCATCTGCATATTGCAGGCTGTGAATGAGCATTCATCCAATCCTAATGTTGTAGTCTTCATATATATGGCTTAACTTCTTGGTTTTTTTTCAGCATCCCAATTAACTAAGGAAGGTGAAAGGATATAACCCTCTGCACACCTTTTCCAATTCCAAATGATGTAGCATCCTTTGTTCTGTTATTTTTAATCTAGCAGAAACATTAGCTTAGTAGAATAGGTGTATTTAAGTATATATACTTTTTCAAAAGAGGAATCACCTAAAATTTGCATATTAAAAAAATTTACCCCCAATCCAACTACCACCTTAACTACTCATTGCTATTATCTTACTAAATTCCTTCCAGTATTCCTCCTCTTAATATTCCTTGTACAGTGGTGTTTGAGCACACTGAAAATTAGATGGGAATGTGTCTCAGCAGAACTTGGTTAGACTATAACTATTTCATAAAAATTTTATCATTTGGTCCTAGAGAATTTAGAATGTTAATATCAAAATTTCTTTATAGAAACTTAGATATCCTATGAGAAAATAGGTAAAGGGATATTTCTACACTTACCACGGATGTTTAAACAATCTTTAAAAGTTTTAACAAAAATAATACAAAAAGGAATGGTTTATATATAAAAGTTAATGGGTTCATAACAAACATATATATATGACAGGTCATTTAAACCTGTGTGTTGCTGAGCTGATTCCAAATCATAGTGACCCTGTATGACAAACTAGAACTGCCCCAAAGGACTTCCTAGCTATAACCTTTCAAGAGTAGACTGCCAAGTCTTTTCTCCTGCTGAGTGGCTGTGGTTTCTAACTGTTGAACCAGGCTAACTGTTCTAACTAGCAGCCCAGAGCTTAACTATTGTGCTACCCGGGCTCCTTCATTTAAACCTATTGTTGTTAAGTGCAGTCGAGTAGGCTGACTCACAGCCACCCTGTGTACAACAGAATTAAATGCTGCCTGGTCCTGCACCAGCCTCACAATCCTTGCTATATCTAGCATTCAAACCCAAACTCACTGCAATCAAGTCTATTCAGACTCATAGTGACCCCTATTGGGCTTCCAAGGCTATAAATCTTTACAGAAGTAAATATCCCATCTTCTTTCCACAAAGCAGCTGGTGGGTTTGAACTGCTGATCTTCTGGCTACCAGCCAGATACGTAATCCACTGTACCACGAGAGCTCCTTTGCATTTAAACCTAAAAAACCAAAACCAAACTCATTGCCATCGAGTCCAAGCCAACTCAACAGTGACCCCTCTTTGGGTTTCCGAGGCAGTATCACTACAGAAGTAGATTGCCCAGCCTTCCTTCTGAGGAGTAGCTGGTGGGTTTGAACCCCCAGCCTTCTGGTTAGCAGTCAAATAACTTAGGCACTACACCACCAGAGCTCCCACATTTAAACCTGTTGCTGTTGTTATGTGCTGTCGAGTTGGACCAAACTCACAGTGACCCCTCCTTGGGTTTCCAAGGCAGCATTATTACGGAAGTAGATTGCCCACCTTCCTTCCAAACTTTGTTGTGTTATGTGCAGTGGAGTAGTACCCGACTCATAGCGCAACCCCTCCTTGGGTTTCTGAGGCCGTATCACTACAGAAGTAGATTGCCCAACCTTCCTTCTAAGGAGTGGCTGGTGGGTTTGAACCTCTAACCTTCTGGTTAGTTGTCAAATGCCTTATGCACTAAACCTTGTTGTTGTTGTTGTTATGTGCCGTCGAGTCGGCCCCAACTCATAGCGACTCCTCCTTGGGTTTCCGAGGCAGTATCACTACGTAAGTAGGATTGCCCAGCCACTATGCTACCAGAGCTCCCGCACTAAACCTAGGATAACTAAATTTTCAAAGTTTTTAAATTAGCTCAATATTACATTCCCTTAGAAAATCTAGCTAAAATTATTTATCATCCTAAATATAACTATGTTGCTGTTCTGTGCTGTCAAGTGGATTCTGACACATAATGACTTTATATGACAAAGGATAACCACATACGGTTTCCTAGTTGGAAATGGATTTTGTTTTTGAGGCATTTGTTTGACATTTGGGGAGACTCCATAGGTTCCAGAGTCCCATTGGCTGTAATCTTTAAGGAAGCCACTAGCCAGGCCTGGACCTTCCATGGTACCGTACGGCTGGACAGGTTGGAAGAGTTAACCTTTGGGTCACTAGTGCAGACCATAGGATTTTGTTTTGGTTTAACCTCTCTGGGAGCAGCAGATCACCTGGTCTTTTCTCCCATAGAGCCACTAAGTGGGTTGGAAGGTCCTTTGAACTTTCATTTAGCAGATGAATGCTTAACCACTGTACCATAAGAAATTAACACATAATTCCTCCCACCACACAAAAGTTATGACTGTTTCAAAATACAAATATTTACTTAAGTGTTTAATATTAGGAAAATGTAAGATTTTTGGGGAGGGGCCATCAGGAGCTATGTATTACAATGATTTTAATTCTCCAGAAATTTGATTATTTTTGTGATATTTAGGTTATTATGTAAAGAACATTTATACTTAAGAATATTAGTATTAGAAGATACCTTCAAAGTCGAAGGTTGAATTTTATAAACATTTACATTTCCTTGTACCAAGGGCATTGTAGCATCGTTAAATCAATTTAAAACTTTTTTAGTATTAAAATCACTCACCTTCCCCAATTTTCTCTATCTTGGTATAGTCTTCCATAGTTTCAGTATATATTGTAGATCCTAAAATGAGGGGAAAAAAACTGATTTAATTACATGCCACTAACGCAGTCACTCCTCGGAAGGAAGGTTGGGCAATCTATTTCCGTAGTGATACTGCCTCGGAAATCCAAGTAGGGGTTCCGACTGAACGGCAATAAGTTTTAACTCAAAAGGTGCTTTTAAACCACTATATGTGAAACATTTAGCAATGTTTAATGCAATAAATACCCATTCTATAAATGTTAAGTTATATTTACATATTTTAATATTTACATTAAATACACCTTTAATATTTACATATAAAATATTTACAAATATAAGGACAACGGCAATAAGACTTTCCCAACCATTTTAGCACCTAAAACACTAAAAATATTTGCATATCCTATACTACCCTTTAGGAGCTCTGGTAGCATAGTGCCTAAGGCACTTGACTGCTCACCAGAAGGCTGGCAGTTCAAACCCACCAGCCACTCCTTGGAAGGAAGGTTGGGCCGTGAGTCGGGGCCAACTCGATGGCAAACAACAACAACAACAACAATACTACCCTTTAGGAGCTCTGGTAGTGTAATGTCTAAGGCACCTGACTGCTAACCAGAAGGCTGGCGGTTCAAACCCACCTGCCACTCCTTGGAAGGAAGATGAGGCAAGCTACTTCTGTAGTGATACTGCCTCGGAAACCCAAGGAGGGGTCACTGTGAGTCGGTCCGACTCGACAGCATATAACAACAATACTAACCTTTAGCTTCTTAATCAAATTAACCCTCAAATTATCAACTATAATCCATCCTTCTCAAACAAAAAATGGAAGTACATTCTCCTTAACAATGTATACTAGAAAGGAGCTCTGGTAGCAGAGTACCTAAGGCATCCGACTGCTGTGAGTTGGAATCAACTGCATGGCAGTGAGTTTGTTTGTTTTGGTTTAATATGTACCAGGGTTATACCAACATATCATCAAATAATGTAATCTGACTTAATTTGTACTGCTCTATATTTTTTTATTGGGAGCTCTGGTAGCATAGTGCCCAAGGCACTTGACTGCTAAGGAGAAGATTGGTGATTCAAACCCACCAGGCACTCACGGAAGGAACACTGGGTAATCTACTTCCCTAAAGATTTTCCGCATCGGATACCCAAAGAGGGTCGCTATAAGTTGGAATCAACTCGATGGCAATAAGTTTGTTTTTTTATATTTTTTTAAGATGTTAATTCAGAGAAAAAAATTATAAACAAAAGATGGTCACATGCTCACTCATTAATTTGTTTAAAGCACGGAAAACTAAGTGTTCACAGCTGCTCATGTGGCAGTTTAATCTTTCTGTTTTTAGCAGTCACATAAACACACATGCTTATTTACTCCAAGTCTTTCAAGGTACTTTTTGCCAGAGTAGGAAATATCACTGCGCATCCTAAGAGGAAAGGATGAAAAGTACATTCTCATAGGTAAATTTCTAGTTATGCCTATGCAACATCAAGAAACAAATAAAAAACCAAATACTTGAAATCACAAAGTATGGTTTAAAAAACAAAACAAAAACTCTCAAACTACTGCTCTCAGATAATCCTCAAACCTTAAATATCCCATGAAGTCTTCTTAAAACCAAACAATAGTTTAGCCTAGCTAGTAAGAATATCTGCCCAACACATAGGACCCCCTCCTTGGGTTTCTGAGGCAGTATCTCTACAGAAGTAGATTGCCCAACCTATCTTAACTGTATGCTATCAAAATGACAAGTAGATTGTCCAGTCTTCCTTAACTATATGCTAATGAAATTGACAATAGCAACTGGAAAGATTAGATAGGAACCTCAGAGAGCAATGAGTTTCTGCTAATAGGAGAGGCACAACTCAGAAAAGGAAGAATTGTAGCACAAGTCAAACCTAAACAGTGTCACTGAATTGTACAAGTAGAGAATTGTACCGCTGAGTTGGCATGTGTTTTGCTGTACATATTCTCAACAAAAAAACACAAAGTGTATAGTTTTTAAAATGGTAAAAATAAAAATAAACTGATATGCTGACCACTAGACACTCAAGCCTTCCTCAGCTGATAAGTTTGCCAGTGAAGTATAAGTTCAAATTATAATTACTTTGATTTTTCTAATACACCCATCACCGATGATAAAATCATGTAATGGTCAACTGAGTATCTGGCCCTTAGAAGTTCTATTTCTTGCATCCATATTCACAGAATGAAAATGACAACAGAAACTTCTGTTGTTTAACACTGGGTGTGAGTGCTCATTTTAAAAATTTATTATTTTACGAAATAGCAATGAAGAACTTAGGACAATTATTTTTCCTCAAAACAAGATTTGATATGCTTAATGCATAATAAAATTGTTGAACTCATTTTGAATGAATAGCTAAGAACTAACTCAATTTCAAAGGTGGCTACCTCCTTCCATTTTCCAGTTTTAACAATTTTTAAGTAAAACATGCTTTCAATTGCCTACTAGGGCTGCAGGATGCAGAATACCTATACTACGGCTTAGTTTTTCTGTCCAGAGACCTCCAGTGGTCCTTAGAAGAAAAACGTGCAGACTAGTAACTTTAACTTTAGATAAAAATCGATGAAAGACCTTGACACGGGTATGAAAATCTCCAGCATTTCTTAGTTTTCCACTATCTGCCAATCCCATAGTATGTAACTACAAGCATAAACTTTTGAATAAAAACATCCCTCTGGCTGTTGTGCGGGAAGCTCGGCGTGGGCAAGGGCCACAAGCCCGAGAAGGTACGTAAATTCATGGGGTCAGATTATCGGGATAGATTTGGTCTAGGGCCTAGTGTCGATCCTTAAGAGGCTCTGGTGGCACAATGGTTAAAGCGCTCTGCTGGAATGCTAACCGGAAGGTCGGCGGGTCCAACCCACCAGTCGTTCTGTAAAAGACAAAGATACTGCAGTCTGCTTCCGAAACTGCCTTGGAAACTCTATGGGGCAATTCTGCTTTAGGTCGGAATCCACTCAAGTGCAGTGAATTAGTTTGAGGGAGAGGGGGCTCGAGGAAAGCGTGCGCCTGGGCTGCGGGGCCTAAGATTGAACCCGGACCTCCACAGGAGTCAGCAATGATTTTCCTTCAACTCGGTTCGCACTGTGACCAGAAAGCCTCCTTCATTAGGTGGATGACCTCTTCCTAATAAAAGCCGACCCCGACCCCGGACTAGAATCCTGAAGTCAGGGCAACCCTAGCCCTCCCCTGAGTAAGCCATTCAGGCCTGGTCTCCCCCAAGCATACTGCCCTTAGGATCTCGAGCTCCAGGCCCTACCCACTGTCGTCCAGGACCACGCACACCCAACCAGGCCTCCCAAACATCACCTCAATACTCCCCTTCCCGAAACCCAGGGCCAGCCCCTGCCGAATACGTCCCATCCCCATGGCCCGGACCCCTGCAACGCTACCCAGCTTATTACCCCGCGGTGGTGGGGGCGGCAGCGGCGGCACTAGCTACCACCTCCGCGTCGATCTCTCCCAACTTCTACGAGCCAGGTTTGAAGGTATGTGAGCGCGGTTTCAAACTCACCGCGCTAAGGATCTTGGATCCACCAATCAGGTGGCCCGTAGACTTTCAAAGGAGCCAATCAGAGCCCAGTTACGCTTGGGCTGGCTTTCCCGGGTGGCTGGAGCGCGAAAGAAAGAGGAAACGGCGGCTGCAGAAAAAGCAGAAGGGCGGGCGCCAACTGAGTCTGCACGCAAGCGCTTCCTTTCATTTCAGGGGAACGTTGTCCTACTGGTTCTAGTCGTCAGGAGTCTACTGTTCGCTATGGGATTTTTCTCTCTGTTGGTACAAGTAATATTTATTGTGCTCAAATAGCTTACTACAAAAATGATACTACATTATATCAAGATTCCATCCCTTCTGAGTGTAATACATTTATGTTTTTCTAAATGCGTGGCTTGGAGGCTAGACAGTTTGTTACCTGAAGAAGAAAACAATGGGAAACTGAAAGATGTTTTCAGCTATCTAAAGAAATTACCTTATTGTGTTGTGTTGTTGTTATGTGCCATCGAGTCGGACCCGACTCATAGCGACCCCTCCTTGAGTTTCCGAGCAGCTCTGGTAGCGTAATGCCTAAGGCACTTGACTGCTAATCAGAAGGCTGGCGGTTCAAACCCACGAGCCACTCCTCGGAAGGAAGATGGGGCAATCTACTTCCGTAGTGATACTGCCTGGGAAACCCAAGGAGGGGTCGCTATGAGTCGTGTCCAACTCGAGGGCACATAACAACAACAACAACAATATCACTACGTAAGTGGATTGCGCAACCTTCCTTCCGAGGAGTGGCTGGTGAGTTCGAACTGCCAGCCTTCTGATTAGCAGTCAAGTGACTTAGGCACTATGCTACCAGAGCTGCTCCTTATTGTGTTAGGTATATATATTTTTAAATTTATAGTGCTTTCATACAGAATTTTAAGTATACCTTACAAGCACAAAAATGAACAGTTCTATAACAGAAGAAAAATCTAAATTATATTTTAAATACTCCTCTGTCAAAAACTTGCATTGCCCTCTGCCATATCTTTAAGAGAGATTTCTGGAGCTTTAAGGAAATAAAACAGTAAGTAGAACTGGGGTAATAAGAATTGTCTGGTAAGGATTTCTCTATTGATGCTAACTAGACACAGAACACAGAGTGACTACCACGACCTAATACTAAAAACGTGTATTAGAAGGCCCAGATTAGGATAAAGAATGGAACTAGTAAATCACATGCACTGTGTTTAATACCTTCTTCCACAATGAGATGGAGCAGCATCTCTCTCATCTGACCCTAAATGTAGCACTAACTCAGCCTTGACAATGTTATGCTCCCAAGCCACAGAGGCAGAGCATTTAGGGTTCATGGTGGAAATGTTGTTGTTATGTGCCGTGGTGGAAATAGGAGTTTGTAAACTTCCCGACTGAGCCTACCAACTTTTAAAACTTGCTTTTTAAACCCCAAATTCACTTTTTAACGGGAAACTGACCTCCCAGAGAAGTCATCTAGAGAGGCAGTCTGTTCTCTGCTA